ACACACATACACCATTACTCCAGTCTTCAGTGTCACATGATCTTTCAAAAATCATTCTAATATGCTGATTTGCTGCTCAAGAAACATTTCTGATTATTAATGTTGAAAACAGTTGTGCTGCTTTTATATTTGTGGAAACCTTCATATGAACCTTTGATGAATAGAAAGTTCAAAAGAACAGCATTTCTTTTTTTTAATTTCTGTAAAAAAAATAGAAATCATACTGATCCCAAACAAAAGGGTGTGTGTGTATGTAATTTTATATACATATATAAATTGTATTCCATGTAACCCATTAAAATCTAATGACTATAAATGGGGAAATACACATGGGTGGATTATTATTTTAGAAGCTAATCGCTTTTCTTAATGGTTTCCTGAAATTGCCAAAAATCCTAATTGGAAAATATGCACAAAATACAAAACATCTCTTAATATGAGGTCTGGAAATTGACATTCCAAGAATGCTGTTTTTATTACACTAAGGAAAGTAGGTTAATTACATGAGCCAGTAACCATAGCAATTAGTGTGAAGCAGTCTGCTTAACTCTATTTTGAATTCTAAATCCGAAAACAAGACCCTTAAGAGCCGTTGTATTCCTCAGCACTACTACTCAAACTAAACTGAAGACACCAACAGATATCTGTCATAGTGATGACAAGCTCTGAACTTTGAAGGTACAAAGAGCTACAAGGAGCATGGGCACAGGATGCTGCTCATCTGGCTGCACGGAGTGATCACCGCTGGAGAAAACCCCATCAAGGGTTTGTATGAAGGTCTGATAGGAATCTCAAGGATCGATCTGGCAGGTGAGTTCAGCATTTCAGTTCATACGTGTATAAGGTCTGTTCCCAAACCTGTTGTGATGCCCGTCTAAACTGAATTTTTATGCATCATATGTGCACTTCAGACTCAAAGGCGGCAAAATGAAGAGCTTGTTGGCAGAATTGCATGTCCTTTTTTTTTTTTTTTTTTGAAGGCAATCCCAGAATGCACTGAAGTGAATTTGTGTGCAAATTCGATTTTAAAATTCTAGTTGGGTTATTTTGGCCAAGAACTGACAACTTTATATCTGTCTTTTTCCTGTTTTGACCATGATTTTGCCTAGACTATTGTAATCAGTGAGAGAAATCTCTGGGTTTCAGATCAGAGTTATTGAGTATATTATTTTTAACTGTTTCACTGTCTACAACCTTGCTTTACCTTCCCTCTTTTATAACTTTCTTTTCTTTCAAACAGAAAGCATGCGACAGCAGGCAAATGCAGATCCGTCTTCTGCTAAAAATGCTCTACAATGTGAGATTTATTGAGAAAGGTCTGAACTGAGCACGTACCAGCCAGGAGATCGGATGCTCTTCAAATACACAGCACTGATGAAACACAAATACTCCCTAAAATACAACCTCAGTGATGTGACTGAGAAGATAACTTAGCTGTTCACACCCAGAGCAAATATTTACAGCAACCATGACTTTGGATTAAAACAATGTGTTTCAGTGGAAAAAAATATTACGGCACTTTTTTTTTTTTTTTTTTTGGGAAACGGGGGGTTTTTTTTTTTTTTTTCTAAAAAAATCCCCCCCACAAAAAACTTATGTGTTTCAGTGGAAAAAAATATTACGGCCCTTTTTTTTTTTTTTTTTTTGGAGAAACGGTAGATTTTCTTTTTTTCTCTCAGAAAAACTCCCCAAGCAATAACATTTTTGGTTATGCTGAATTTCAGGTTCATTTTTACAGTTATGCATGTCTCTCTGTCCTACATTTATTTGTAGATGCAGCATTTCTGCTGTAATAAATTGTTATTTTTAACACTAGAAACAAATCTAATACTAATGCAGCTGTGTTAGCCAGGATACTGGGTAACAGACGTGTGTGTGGTGTGCAGTAATGTTAGAGTCTCTCTTGACTGATCATCCTGTTCATTATGAGACTCGCCAGACTGAAAGGCCCAAACTTTTGTGTGTGCAAATGTTCTTATATGAACACGGGACAAGAGAGAGAAGGTGCAATGAAATTAATTGATTAATAAACCTCTGCAGTATTTTATGCAGATTAGGACTGGCCTGACATTGATTTCTCGATTTTAATCGATTCTCTGAGGAACTAATATTGATTCTTAAATCCCAAGAATTGATCTTTTATGCCATTTTCAGTTGAGTAAACAAAACTTCCCTAAACATTATTTGTAATAAGTTTTGTGCTTTGTTACTTTTGGTATAAAACAAAGTCTGAGCTTTAAAATTTCTATAATTATTTTTTTTTATGAAAGTAGAGTGCACGTAAACCAAACATTTCCCCCTTACTACTAGTTATTGCACAAAATAAACATGAAGGAACATCGGAAGGTATGTTGAAAATGTAACACGTCTCATGTAATTGCTCAATCTCTGTTTCAGCTACGGAAAGACATCAATAAAACGGCTTGTTAACATGTCACGGAACATTTACCTCAGAAAAGCTATTCAGTGTCCACAGCTAGTTATCTAGAAAAATAAACTAGTGAACTGTAGGCATTTTGGTGAATATATGCACTATTATAGCCTATAATCATTATATTTTTTACTTGACCTGTTCCCTTTCAGTCAGTCACATTCTACGCTGTCAGTCGTGACTGACGAATTTAAACTAAACAAGCCAATGACAGTTGGTATGCGTGTTTCGCCACGCGCACCCCGCCCCGCAGCGCGGGTATAAAAGTAGAGCGCGTGTAAACGCACATCAGCTTTTCGCTTCGGAGCCGAGCCTTCTCAGGACGAATCTCCGCGAGTGTTTGGAAGAAACGGCTGGCGTTGTTGTTACGGAGTGTCAGCGGGGGTTGCCATCCAGGCTGCTGAAACCTCGGCGAGCTGCAGCTGCCATTCTGCGGTCTCGCCACGACCTTCCCTGGGTGCTTCAGCGCTCTCTCTAAAAGAGTGTTTTTCCTTTATTAAAAAAAAAAAAAAAAGACAATTTCCAAAAGATTGCGGTCCAGATACCTCCTCATTAAACGGGGGGGTATCCCCCTTGCCATGCCCCGCTCTAGCTCCTCTGGTTCTCGGAGGGCTACTTCGGTTCATGGTCAGGGAGACCTGTGGGTTATGGTGAGAGCTTCCCCGTCGAGTACGTCTCCGCGGGCCTCTCATTCCTCGAGCATGTCGCACCACCTGGTGCTTCCGGACGAGTGTGCTGGGTCCTCGGACAGGGCGGGGTCCAGCATCTTGTGTGGGACACAGGCAGAGGACAGGATGTCGATCGCTGCATCGGAGGGCGAGCTAGGCTCTGGAGATGATGATTCGGCTGCGCTGCCACCGTCAGGGAGAGTGGCGTTGCCCGAGTCAGATCCAGAGCTGACCGCTATGCTTTCCCGGGCCGCTGAGAGTGTCGGGCTGCACTGGAGGCCTCCTCCTTCTCCCGAACGTTCGAGGCTGGATGATTGGTTCCTGGGGGCGCAGGCCGGGCGCCGGCAGCTGCCTCCGGTTCCATTCTTCCCGGAAGTGCATGAGGAGGTTACTAAGTCTTGGAAGGCACCTTTTTCTGCCCGAAACAGACTTGGTGCCTCCTCCGTCCTCACCACCCTCGACGGGGGGGCGGCCCAAGGGTATGTGGACATCCCTCCGGTCGAGCGCGCGATTGCCATGCAGCTCTGCCCGCAAAGCGCCGCCGCCTGGAGAGGTAGTCCACGCCTTCTGTCCAGGGCCTGTAAATTCTCGTCCGCGCTGACGGCTAAGGCTTACAGTGCTGCTGGCCAGGCCGCTTCCGCCCTGCACGCCATGGCCCTCCTGCAAGTCCACCAGGCCAAGGCGTTGAAGCAGTTGCACGAGGGTGGTGCTGACCCAGGTGTGTTGCAGGAACTGCGCAAGGCGACAGACCTCGTGCTTAGGGCGACGAAAGTCACAGCGCGGGCCCTGGGTCAGATGATGTCCACATTGGTGGTCCAGGAGCGCCACCTATGGCTGACCTTGGCGGATATGAGGGAGGCTGACAAGCATTGCTTCCTGGACTCCCCGATCTCCCAGGCCGGCCTATTCGGCAAAGCGGTGGAGGGCTTTGCCCAACAGTTCTCCGCCGCGCCGAAGCAGACAGATGCGTTTTTCATAATATCCTGCCCCGGCGGTCTGCTGCTGTCTCCACCCCACCGCCGGCTACAGCCCCTATGTCTGCTCGTCGCAAGACAGAGGAACAACGGCCGCAGCGTGGAGCTGGCCGCAGGAAACCGGCGCAGCCCGCCTCCGCCCCTGCCAAGCCCGTGAAGCACCAGGGCAGGCGGCATCCCTGAGATGGGCAACCCGGTGCTCTTGGATCCTGCTCTTCAGGAGATGGTGACCGCACCACTCCTTCCCCCGGAGGAGGGCCGGGTGGAGAATCTTTTGTTCCGC